CCTCCAGAAACCAGCACAACGGGGACTAGTCAACTAGTTCCATAAAACAAGAAACAATTCCAGACTTAGCAAGAATTCAGATGGACGATGTGGCACTGAACATGTTAAACCAATTATAGTTAAAAGTTGTTAGCGGGACAAAGCGCTAAATCATTGTATTTTACGGTCTTCAGCTTTACAGAAAAATAAGCAAAGACAGTGAGCAAACGCTCACTTTTCTGTCACTCATATATAGTGTTGGGAAGCCTAAATTCTTTTCTCAAAACAGTCTATTTGCACAGTTCATGTAAATAAACAATTATCTGATAAAATTAACAAATCACAGTGCAAATACAATTGTATATATATATATATATATATATATTAATTTGAATGTTTTTTTAATCTGTAGAAGTAATCATTTAATGCATTTTCCAATTAATCTTTTTTTAATAAATAATCCTAAAAAGTTAGATCACATATTGCTGATGATGTGTTGGAAGAGTTTTATGATTCTGTTTGCTGTAGCTGCATACTTACTTTATATTTATGAATTCAGCAACTAGGTTTGTGTTCCCTTGGAATCGTGAATGCAGGTTTGAAATCAACAGTATTAATGAAAGAAACGTGCAAACAACTTGTACACAAATAGACTGCAAACATCGGGCAAAACACAGTCGCTGTATGTAGAGTTTGTTTTGGAAAAAAAAAAAATGTGATCAATATCAATCTTTGTTGTGTATAAAGTATCCTTAAAAGCATAGTGAAACTTGTACAAAACACTTAGAGTAAAATTATTTTTAAAGGTTTCTTAGAGAGTAACAGAAATATGTCAGGTTTTCAGGCTGAAAACCTCAGTCAGCAAAAGAGGTTTTTATATTTTTAAAAGCTGATGCATAATTCAGAATTCACACGTTTTTTTTCTTAGCTGCTCTCCACTGCTGCATCACAGAGACTTAATTATGCAGAAACCCCTTGGAGCTGGCATCTTACAGTGGTCCCATGATACTCATAAAGAATCGCCTCTCAATACAAACACACACACTGTACTTCATTCACCTAACAAAGAGACAAGTGTCTGCAGTTGGAACTACTGCCAAACCTTTTCTAAAGATGCTTCATACTTCACTCAGAGATTGCTTTTTTCATGTGTGTGTGTGCGTGCATGCATGCGTGCGCGCGTGCGTGCGTGTGTGTGTGTATAAAGTAAGTAATATATTAAAAGTAAGAAAGACATTTAGACAGTATTCATCCTGTGCTTATAAAACTGGTGTTGCGCCACGTCTTTTGCTCAGGTCACCTCCTCGACCCAGTCCAGGCAGTCTGCACTACTCAGATGAGGATGTCAGCGCCAAATACAATGACCTGATCCCAGCAGAGAGCAGCAGTCTCACGGAGAAGCCATCAGAGATCTCAGATTCACAGGTAACAAGCATTCTGTGATGAGATGTTATCAGTCTGTGTGTGTGTAATATATATTAGAGGGACAGTTCACCCAATAATTCTGTCCTCAATTACTCACCCTCATTTCATTTCAAGAGGCTTTAAAGATTTAAGAAGGATGTAAAAGCATTGTGCATATAGATCTATGGACAACTTTTATTGTACTTTTCTGATTATGGTGCTTTTGCCTCCTTTCTGAACCATGAAAGCTTCAGTTTTTGTGTTTCTCAGAAGTTCTGAAAACAACATGAGGGTGAGTAAATAATGACAAAATCTTCATTTTGGGATAAACTGTCCCATTAACCTCCAATCAGGATTTCTAATGCTAAATCTAGTCACATTCATTTAGAATAGGACCTGTTGAAATTCCCTTATCACACACTTTTATTAGGACTAGGACTCGCTGTGCTGAAACTTTCTCAAAAGTAGGATACAGCCCTGCAGGAAAGGTCTGTTATACCCTACTTGAGATTTTGGCTGTCTTACTTGTGCATGGCTTCAGTCCAGGTTAGGTCCTGTGGGTGGTTAGTTTTTTTTATCATGTCCAGAACATTCTGCTGCATCCAAGTTCATGCTCTCCAGTCTTTGTGTCCTGAGGCACAGGTTGGAAAATCTGTGGTAGACTTGAGAAGAAAACACAGTGTGCAGCACACAGGAACTGTAATCAAACAAAATACTCACATAAATGCATAAAGATTAAAGTGTGAAAACTGGAAGGCTTTGGTTGGACTCTCTCCACATCTCTCAATTGACCATTTAGCTGGCATGATGAGCAAAAGCTATTCAGTTTAAGTTGTGTGTGAAAGTCTAGCATTGGCATTTACTAAATCAAACTTGCAGACTGGCAAAGAGAGCAAGAAACACGCACACATCATGCTGTTTTCTTCACATTATATATAATTGTTGTTAGTGAATTTTAATTGATTAAGTGTATGTGTATGTGCACATATATATTTCAGCTTTAAATGTAGTTAATGCAATCCCATTTTTGAGCCAGAAATATATTTTATAGCAGCATTTTTTTCTATATTTATTTCCTGTTATTCTTACTAACAAATAATAAAATAAAATATTTAATAGTGGGAAATGGTTTATTTCCCAAAGGATTTCAAGCATTTCATTTTATTTAAAATGTGTGCGCGCTGTCACCATCACCCTGTCAGAACTTCCAAAATGCACATCATGTCAAACAAAAGCTCTAAATTTTTAATCTCCTCCTCGCCCTTCACTGACACCTCCTGCCACCACCTTCTAGACTGCTGGCATCCGGCCACCTTTGACTCGTGGTTGGAAACAGAGCATCTCCTGTTCTCCTTCTGCTCCTGCTAAAGTCTGGTATCATCACCATCAGGCAGAGTGAGGAGAGAGGATGGAATCTCTCTTTGAAGTTTTATTGAGCGGATAACTCCAGGCTATTGCAGATCCATTGAGCTGTCTCAAAAGAGCCAGAGCCGCCACAGAGACGTATAATACTGTCATTGTTCAGGAACTCTTAAAGACGGCTCAAATTCATTTGGCAAGGCCACAAACCTGAGCACCTAGCTGAGCCAGCTCTGCCTTTAAATTAACACATGGAAGATGAATGAGAATTTGGACAGGTGTAATTCTGTCTAGTCATTTGAGTGTGTTGGACACAAAGTTATTTTAAATTTGATTTTGAGCTGCTTTTGTTTTTTTTTGGAAACGCTGGCGCTACAGCTGCAGCTAACAGCAGGGATTGTTAGGGCAGCTTTCCATGTCAAAGCATCTTTGTTTTAATTGGCTCTCTGATGATCATCCCAGCATCAACTCTGTGAGATTCTTCCCAGCTCATGGAACGTTTTTGCTTCTCATCAGTTACTCTTATGTCATAGTGAAAATTTAGATTTAATTTGGAGAAAAGTGTGCATTTTGACAATATTTGATGGCGTAACACTTGGGTTGGACCGTATATCAAGTATTAATAAAACTGTACATTTGTACTGATTTTACTGGTGATCTAAAATTAAGCTACTTTTATTTTAATATGCTTATTATTTGGTCTAACTTTTTAATCTTCTTTATTTTGCACAATGTAAACCTAAAAATATTAACTAAGCGAAAGTAATTTAAGAATTTGGAATTTGGCAGGTAGGTTTTTTTTCTTTTCATAGGTAAAAATATTTTTTAATATATGATTAAATATCCTTAATCTAAGATTTGTAAAATTACTGTTTGTATCACAAAAAACTGTGGAAAATGTTTTTAAGTAGATTTTTACTGTATTTTATTTCTTGCAGTTAAACGTTTTGAAACTTCTTGGTGTTACATATGCAGTTTGGAAATGATCCCTCTTATTGGGAAAAAATATCACCCTTTGAAGTAATTTCAGAGCAAATACATAAATACTGAGAATGTTAAGTTTATTTATAAAAAAGAAACTGTTTAAAAGATTAGGGTTGATACGATTTTTTATGTTTTTGAAAGAAGTTCACTGAGGCTGCATTTATTTGATCAAAAATACAGATAATGTTTATTATCAAAAATGATAATATTGTTCAAATGTAAAATAACTGTTTTCTATTTTAATATACTTTAAAATGTAATTTATACCTGTAATGACAAAAATGAATTTTCAGCATCGTTACTCAAGTCGTCAGTGTCACATGATCTTTCAGAAACCATTCTAATATGCTGATTTGCTGCTCAAGAAACATTTCTTAAGATTATTAATGTTGAAAACAAATATTTTTTAGATTCCGTGATGAATAGAAAGTTCAAAAGAACAGCATTTATTTGAAATAGAAATATTTTTTAACACTATGAATGACTTTCAGTTTTGAATAATGCACCGTTGCGTAATAAAAGTTTTTTGAAAATAAAACAAATTTTGAGCGGTATGAAGATATAATTTGCGTCTTTGTCTGTCCAAACGACTGCTGTGCTTACAATTCTAATGGATCGGTGAAATGGGAGACATAGACACTTACACGCTCCTCTCCTTCATTTAATCCATATCTGTGCTGCAATAGGATTTCTTCCTTTCCCGCTCTCCATCCGTCTCTGTAGAGATATGAGTGGGGGTGGGTTTGTTTTGGCAGTCACAATGGCCTTCAAACCTAACTCTAATGGCCTGTGTTACATTTTTTGAGGCTTTTTTTGAGCAGATTAGACAGAAATATAACACATGTAATGCCTCTTTAGTGATGCACCAGCACCGTCATCTGTTGCAGAAAGAAAACAGCCCATAATCTTGTGTAAAACATATTTAGACTCCGTGTATTTCTATCACAAGGTCAGGTGCAGTGTCTCTATTTAAATGTAGTTCCACAGAGAAAGTGAAGTTTCATACATTTTAATGGGATTTCTGTAGGGCAGTGCTTATACTCAAACCAGGATTTTCCGGGAGGGAACATCTTGCCCCACTTTCTGTCTCTGCAGGAGACAAAACATACGTGCCAAACAGCCAGTTCCAGTAAGATCAGATCCTCCCATCTGAGGAGTCATTAACCAGACCCATCACAATCTGTCATCAGCTTTTATTCTGTTATTATTATTTTGTGTTTTGTTGAATATCTTGGCATTTACAGTCGTTTTGGAATTTTTTGTGGCCTGAAACTTATTTTAGTCCAACTTCATGAAGGCATGAATCACACTGACCTTGGCCTTTAGTAAATTTTGTATTTTTTATTAGTGATGCTTACATACTATTGTTCATACTTACGATAAGATGTTCTGACAAATAAGCAGTCAAACACCCTAGCAGCCACAAACACAAATATTATTTATTTTATCATTTTTATATTTTTTTATAATACCTTTTATTATTTTTATTTTTAGAATTTTTAATTAAAATATTCCCTCTTCAAAATTATTGTACTATTACATTTTTACGTTTATTTAATGAAGTATGCGATTTCTTCAGTGTTTAGTGTGTTTGTTTGAGTGAAACGACAGCACTGAGCGTTTCAACCAAGCGTTTTGAAAACTCTTCTTTACAGTGTTCCTGTCACATGTGTAAAAATCAGCAGCTGAATTGGTTTTAAGTTCCATCTGGATTCTCCCTTCAGGTGGTTTGGCATAGCTGCCCTTTACAGCACTAATATCACGGCTGATGTGCTCTGATTTGATTATTTTCATCAAATAGATTTCTGTGATATTTCAGTTTTCTGCTGTGCGTTAAATGTAACACATTATACTATGTTAGAGACATATTGTTGTTGTTTTTTGTCAAACAAGCTTGAAAATAGTATTGGTATGGATCATGGCTGGATGGAGGAGATAGAATAACAGAGGAGTGGATGAATGCAAACAAACATTTTTTTTGAGGAGAGAACAGCTGTCACATCCTGCATGTGTCAGCAGGGGAGGGCAGGAGTAGGTCACGGCGCTCTGTCTCAACCGACATGTTTTGATGACCACACACACACACACACAAACACACACACATACTTGCATTTGTGGTTTACGGGGACTCTCCATAGGCGTAATGGTTTTTATACTGTACAAACTCTATTTTCTATTGCCCTACACCTAAACCTACCCCTTACAGAAAACTACTGGCAATTTTTGAATTTCATAAAACACCGTTTTGTATGTTTTTTAAGCCTTTTGTTTTACGGGGACACAGGAAGTGTCCTCATAAACCATGTTTATGTTGTAGTATCCATGTCATTATACACATTTGTGTCATCATAAACCATATATACCAGTACACACACACACACACACACAGACACACATACACACACCGTGTCAGCATGCAGCTTTAGTTTCTGAGCTTGTCTTTGCTGTGAGGTCACGCTGAACAGAGAAAGCTTTCAAAGCTGAATTACAGATTACAGGGCTTTTGTTTGCTGCTTATTGAGTTGTTGAATTTGCTGGTATGACTGGAATGTCTCATTAAAACACTGCAGTCATATGAGAAGCTAAAATCAGCACATGTTCAATAATAGAGGCATGATGCTACAAAAATCCATGATCAATTCAATAATATTTTGTGTATATGTATGTATGTATGATTGAATGTATGCATGATTAAAATATGATTAAAAATTCCCTTTTTTCTATTATAAATAAATTATCATTAAAGTTAAGTCATTATAAAATTTCATGATAACAATGTAAATGGAAAACACTGTAATTCTGTATGTATTATTATAGACATGATATGTATCTTGATCATTGAATAAAAAACATTTGAATTCCTGAAAAATCGAATTTTTCAGGAATTTTCTCTTATGCACAAAGATACAAAACAATATGTTTATGATTACTGTATGTAATCATACTGATTTTTTTTTCCTCAAAGGTTTTTGCTGTTTAAAGAAAGAAAGGATGAAAGAGTTTCAGCAGGTCATTGGCATGAAATCTGCAGCTCTGATTTTAAGGGGATGTGGGGCTGATTTGGGGGAAACTGCTTTCCTCTCTGGAATTTGAACAGAGGCATGTGTGTCACATATGTGTGTATGTTACAATAATGGTGGACTGGAGAGATCTGAGCATTGTTAGTCTTTTCACTATAAAAGAGAAAGGCGAAGAGAAATTTTGAACTTTTTTGCCAAAATATGTATTTAATGTAGTGATCTTATCATCTATGTGTTTTGCAATAATTCAGTGAGAGGTAGAAGTGTAAGACAATTCTGTAGATTCTGTTTGTTTGTTTGTTTTCATTCATTTCACATTGTCACACAGTGAAAGACTTCAAATGACAGTGTTGCTCTTTAGCAGTGTGGATTAAACTTGATTCAATTAGTTGTTGTTTTTTTGTTTTTTTAATAGCAGAAGATTGTGTCAAATAATGGCGCAAGAGTCTAGCTATTCAGAAAGATCAGAATCAATCCCTAAAAGTAGCATTTGGAAATTCCCAGATTGAATTTCTCATGGGGGATTGCAGAAAGTGGTGGTGAGGATAGATGAGTCTTCTTAAAACGATATGCAAACCCTAAAAGCCTGAGCTATGATGGTTCTTATTTTCATCCTTTTCCTCTCCAGTTGGCAACTGGCAGTTGCTTGGTACTTTAGCATTCAACTGTGGTGAACTTCATCAGCCAGCTCTAGAAGTGTGAGCCAGATATGTCAGAATGAGGAGAGCGAAGGTGTTGTAATAAATGTGGTGGTGGAAGACAAAGATTGATGGAGAGCAGATCTTCATACAGTTGTCCATTGTTCTCGTGCAGAGAGCTGTCTCAACAAAGAGTGTAGGAGGCTGCCATGAGGAACCTTCTCAAGATTGTTCCAAGAAATGCATTAAAATGTCAAAGAAAGTGTTGAGAAGTATTCTCAGCCTGCATTACCCTTATAAAAAAGTATCATGGTACTAGCCTGCTGATCAAACTTTCCAATGGTATACAGTAGGGACCAATAATTTATCATTATTAATTTATTATTATTATTAGAAAAATTAAAAACATAAATATGTATTCCTATTTTATGCCTTAAACTTTAAGTAAAATAAAGACATTACACTGAATGTTAATACTGGATATTATTTTTCATTGAATGTTTAACTCAAATTGTTATTCTGCTAATATGGGTTTGTTATGAAATAAATTGCATTAAATTAATATTTGAAACAAATCTGATATTACAGTAGTTTTTGTAACGGTAATGCACCATTTTTAAAAAGAAGCCATTGTTTGTCCCATGAAATATGACTTAGGGCCCATACTGCACTGCTTTAAACCCCATGTCTCTGTTTACCTCTAGGAGGCGCTTGTTTTCTCCTTTAAGACTGGGGGCCTCCATACTCTTCCAACTCAAAGGGTGAGGATATGCATTGTGCATTGACTGACAGGAAGTCGCCTCTTAGTGCTTGTCCATTCCTATCCTCTTCATTAGGTTCATACATGGTCAAAACCCCACCACATGGATATGTGACCCCCTAAACGCAGCGTGTGATTGGTATCCGAGGGTGCAGTGGTATAAAGCAATGAGGTTATTTTTAAATGATAGATAGAGCCTTTTTTGGTTCTTCCCTTTTTTTGCCTTTTCTTTTCTTGGGTCATTTATGACAGATTCAAAAGTAAGGTGTGTGGTCTGTTGCATTTCAAGACTTCTTTCCTACAATAAATAAAGCTTTGATGGTTTGTGGAAAGAAATTAGAGATTGCAAGTATAATCTAATGGAATAATTAATTGGATTTTGCTCGTTTAATCAGGTTACCATCATGTCTGTTGTTTGATAAAACTAAATGAGCTCTTGCTAAACAAGTTCTAATGGTCTTGAGAGCTTGTCAGTGTCCCTTTAGATTATAAACACTGTAAAGTTTTACAGTATTTTACTGAACATTGAAGTGGTAACTTGAAGTTTGTTTTACCTAGATGCAGTGATAATCGGATTAAATCAAATGTTTTGGAACCGAATGAATTAAGTAACTCAAATCAGTCATTTTCACCAAACTCACACTTGTCAGCCATGATTTCTGTTCTTTTGATCTTTATTAACACCCATTTTAGCCAATGTTTTGTCAATTCAGAAACAAACTGCTACTGCAAATAGCACACATGATAGTTGAGTTACTTCTTAAGAAGAACTCACCTCAGATGTTATGAATTATCATTTATAATTATTGCAAATATTCTACACTGTATGTTAATATATTTTAAATTTTAATTTATTCCTGTGAAATCAAAGCTCATGGCAAAGTGTCACATGATCCTTTAGAAATCATTCTAACATTTTTTTTATATTATCATCAATCCTGAAAAAAAGTTGTGCTGTTTATTATTTTTGCGGAAACTGATTTTTCAAGAGTAGAAAGTTCAAAAGAACAGCATCAACAGATGAATTTCATGCATTTTTCCTGACCACAAACTTTGAACTTTAGTGTCAAAAGTGAAGAATAATGATTATTTCTAGTGCAGCCTCTGATTCTGTGGATTGATCCCGGACACCTACTCACATCATCCTTCCTTAAAATTGAGATTGTTGAAGTGATTCTGTCTCCATCACTCATTCTTTCTCTCTTTCTCAACCACCAGGGCAGTGACAGCGAATACGAGGTGGACCCCAACCGCCAGAAGACGCATTCATTCGTCAACCACTACATCAGTGACCCCACCTACTACAACTCCTGGCGCAGACAGCAGAAGGGAATCTCCCGAGCGCAGGCCTACAGCTACACCGAGTCGGAGTCCGGAGAGCCCGAACCCTGCGCTCCTCCACCGCCTCTGCCCCCTCTACCCCCGTTCCCACCGCAGCTCAGTTCCCCTACAACCCAGAGCCAGTCCCAGGCTGGCAGCCTTTTCAGACCCAAGGGCAGCCGGACTCCCACTCCATCCCAGCAGAGCTCCAACCCACCCAGTCAGCAAGGCACACTTTATCGGCCCCCGAGCAGCTTGGCCCCAGGTTCCCGGGCCCCCATCGCTGGCTTCTCCTCCTTTGTTTGATTGAATGAAGATATCGGTACATGGAAATACAAAACAAAGGCAGGGAATCGCTTACTTTCCCCAATGCCTGATCAAACTCACGTCTATAGAAAAATGACAACAAACATCAGCCCTGGATTTGTTGTGCTTACGTTGTCATTGCAAGCTGATTTTTGTTTTTATATACTTTCTTTGATCACACATTTTGTTTTCTTTCGTTTAGGTTTTTGTTTTGTTTCTCTGCTTGTGTGTTCAGAGTGTTTCACTCAAAATGAAAGACAATCACTTGGAAAGACACGTAAACACATTGGTGAGCTTTGTTTGTTTTGGGGTTTTTTTGTGCTGCTTGAACAAACTGCATGACTTTTTTGTTCAAACATTTCTTTTCGTTTGCTTTTTCATTTTGTTGTCATTGGTTCTTTTGTTTTTCTTTGTTTAACACCAGCACTAAGTTACGAATGCTGGACAAAGGCACTGACACATGAAAAATACATTTAAAAAGGCTACGGAGAAAATCTCAGCACTTGGCCACATCAAGAAAAATGCTAAATGGTGATTTGTACGGTGGTATTTTTGTTCTTACACAGATGACAAAGTACCGCAGTGATTATGGGAGGTTGAAGTTCATTTGACTAAAGACTATGATCTGATAAAGACCCGCCTGCACTTAGCACATGTTTGAGTTGGAAAGCCAGCATCATTTATTGATGTTACAAGTCAGTTTTCACCAGTGCTCTGAAAAGGCCAAAGGTCAAATTAAGTGCTTCACACTAATCTGTGTTTTGAATGTTTTTCCGGAGGTGAAATGTAGATTGTTCGTAAAGTTGAACACGAGTATATTTTCCCTCGTGAAACTTATGGAAGGCCAAATATGTAAGAGTCTGATTCACTATGATATTATTATACTATTGCTCTGGATTCTTTCAGATTCAGAGTCATTCATGTTAGCAGCAGGTGTGTGATGGGCGGGGTCATTTGTTGCTCCTTTTGATTTGACTCTATGATGTCATCCTGAGCTTCAGGTTGCACTTCCGCCGTGCAAACGGTAACGTCGGACACAAACGTCAATAAACGGCAGCGGATATCGGATATTTGCCAGCATCTCAGGCGGAGCTGGATGTCAAACATACCCATCAAAGAGTTCCTGTTCAAACACCTCTCCGATTTTTTCCCTTTCCTGATCATCTGGCAAGACATAACATCATAGAAGCTGACGACATTACAAAGATTGTGCAGCCAAGCAAATGTATTGTACCTGTGAACTTCAGATTTTTCACCACTTCGCTTTGACACGGCTATTCAAAGTAACTGAAGATAAAAAAAAATTTACTAAGGGACCCAACACAATGCCAGCAGAGAATTAAAAGGCACTTGCGCAGCTTACTTGTGAGGTTTAATGATGTTGTTTGCTCTTTCTTTTCCGTGAAGTGATTTTACTGTCTGTATAAACAAGGTCAATCACATGCTCAGTCTGCCTGAACACAGTATATTCCTAAATAAATTATGTTTTCTGCAAACGTTACTGGTTTGAACATTGAAAAGGACCATTTGGCTGTGTGAAAAGTGAGCATTCAGGGGTCATGAATGACTAACATAGGAGAGGAAGTGGGTAAATCTAAGTGAAAGTGTCCTTAAAATTACATTGGTTGTTGAAACATTACGACAGATACTATGACTAAATCTTAACCAGGAGCAACACGCAATTTAAAGGTTCCACTCCTATATAGATCTGAGTTTTTGTCCTAACCAACCCTATTTTATTGGTGCTAGTCCAGGTGGTAAACCAACATAGCCACATGAAGCTGGACCACCATCAGCTTTCCAATGAAACTGGTTGACCAAGCAAGTCTTGCTGGTTAAAAATGGACATTCTGTCATAATTTACTCATAATTATGTCATTGCAAACCTGTATTAATTTCTTTCTTTTGCAGAACATAAAAGGCGGCATTTTGAAGAATGTTGGTAGCCAAGTTTCGATTTCCGTTAACTTTCATTGTGTGGACAAAAAATGCAATGGAAGTCAATGGAAATCGAAACTCTTTGGTTAGTGTGGGCAAATTTGTAACGGGAAACTTGTTGCACCTGGTTAAGACAGAGTCATTTGGTATTGAGAGCAACAGAGTTGGCCACATATTGCAAATTTGATAAAAAAAACATTAGTTTACCATTTTTTGAATAATTCCATGTGGACCACCTTCAGCTTAAGTTATGCTTTAGACAGATGAGGATAAATATGCATAGCATTTATTAGAGTTGTTTATTTTTAAGGCTTAATTACTATCTTTATCGAACAAAGGAACTTGGAGTTATTGGAACAGCTCTATCAATGAGTGGATGAAACCTTTTGTTGGTCCTGGAACAACTCTGTCTAACTGGGCCATACCTTGGCCAAGTGTTCAAGTCTGCAATTGCATATTTGCAAATACATTTCTAACTTAACCCTAACCATAAAGTCTGATAGGATTGCTAGGTTTGTTGTTCCAGGACCAACAAGGATGTACTTGGCAATATAGCGATCACAGAATGTGTGTGATTATTTCATCCTTTCGTAATTTATAGGTGTTACAATGTGTGAAAATCCATCTTAACCCTCTGATGGACATATATGTGGCCTGTAACTCAAAGTTTCCCATCCTGTTGCTCTCATTGGGTTAATGAGTGTGGATAAATTGGATCAGCAGACCTGTGAAATCATGTTATGTTGGAAGCATCTGTTGCCTCCAGCCAGAAGAGAAGCACCATTTATTTCTCCATTTCCATTATTTTTATCTCCTTTTCTTTTTGTGGTGACAACTGCAAAAGTGGTATGAACTCTTTCCTCTTGTTTCTCCCTTTCCAAATTCCGATTTTTCATCCTTATTATGGCAAGACAGAAACCCCTGTATTTATACATTAATGATGGCAGAGACAGAACTGGACAGGAATGTGTATAAATGGAGGGAGATTCCACATCATACTCATCCCAGTGTAAGTCCATTTTGTGTCCTATTAAACCTCATTTCAAGTGCAGAGGAAAATTCTTCATGTTTTATTCAAAGGTGCTAGTGAAGCTCTGCAGCTGCGATTCTTGCTTAAACCATGCATCTGCAGTCGCTTATTGTTTGAGGTTACTTCTTAGAATCTTGTGTTAATTATTAAATTATATTATTTCCCTCTTTCACAGAAGGGTAATATGCACCATTTTGAGATCAAACGGCTGGATAAATGCGTTTGATGGCAATTATAGAGTAGGGTTTTACCACTGGATATGAGCCCATTGATCAGCCCGTTTGCTAACACCATAAAGAGCATATCAGATGGTAATCACCTTTTTTCAGAAGTTATGGGAAGTTTTTGATCACTTTGGGGTTTTATATAAGCAGGATTGAAGGGAAGACTGACTATAAAAACTTTGTAAATGTGTGGCGGTTTTACAGCTCTAGTATATACAAAACATACATATTCCCAGGTTCATAAACTTTAGGTGGTCCATTTGGATTTCCGTATATCTTACATGAAATATTCACTGTCGTACTTGGATGTTATTGGATAATTTGGATGTTATTTTGCTTGTTTTTAGTTATTTTATCTTTTTGAATCCTGGCGTGATGTATGGTTGGACTGTGTGTGTGTGTGTGTGTGTGTGGGATGCAATGAGAAAGTGAGAATGACTGAATGTTTAGATGCACTATATTTTTTTCTTCACTGTCTGGATGAGGGAGATTTGGCATGCAAAATATATTGTACAGAATAAGCTGTTTGTCTCTTTTTGTGTGTGATAGTGGGAATTTTAACACATTTTGCCTTTCAAATCTGTGTAGAACTTAAACCAAAATATGTGTTTTAAAAATAAAGAGCGGAAATAAAGGTCTATTCAGACATACATGTTTATTTTTTATCACGTAAAGATGTTTAAAGGGCCCGCATTTCATTGTATGCCAGTTTGCAAATATGACCACTGGAGTCATATGTCACTGTGAATCACCCGGCTGAAGAGGATGTATGTGGTTGGGTTTGTCCCATTTGTTTAGTGTGGTTATTGCGTCAACATCAATCCACTTGGTAACTGTAACCACAGCTGCAATCAAACAGAAATGTAGTTTTTTTCTTTATTCTCAGACAAAAGGTGATTATTGTTACTGTTGGCCTTGTTTTAGTTAATTTTATTATTTTTAATTTTTTTTTACATATAATATTTGTTAATTTAAAATGTTTATTTTTGTGTTTTCCTAGGGTGTGGATTACTTCATCAATATTATATACCAGTGCTGAATCTAAGGACTTTTAAAATGCCTAAAATGGGATATATTGTATTATAATAAGTGTTTAGTGCCAAGGGTGTACTCTGTGATTAAATATGTCTATTCTGTACTAGACCAGTGTTTCCCAACCTTTTTTTAGTCGCGGCACCCTTTGGAAATTGTAACAAACATGTGGCACCCTACAAAATTAATTTTGTCACAATATTTGAATTTCTAACTTCGATGTGATAATTTGAAAAAAATAGATATTCGGTACAACAGGGAAGAACTGCAGAATATGTCACACCACGTGAAAGTGAAACCTGAGCGGTGAACTCATTTTTTGCATCTCTAATTATTGGCGACATCAGAAATGGATATTATATAATAGATGCTTTTTTGAACATTTTAGCAATTTAAAAATATTAAAAAATTATTTTTTACACGGCACCCCTGCTCTTGACAGACGGCACCCCGGTTGGGAAACACTGTACTAGACAATATATAAAAAATAAATAATCACTTGAAGGAGCTCTTGAGCTGTCAATGATCATCTGGCTTTGGCTAAAACTCTTTGTCTTTGAAGGAAAAAAATATATATAATAAGAAGATGACCTGATGACAGAATTATATTATTTTCTAAATAAAAGGAATCAAAGTCAAACAAACCAATTTGTGAAATTATTTATATTTCTTTAAATCTCACCATCGATGCTTACTATTAATATATATTATATAATATATTGATTGTATATTATAATATATATTGTCATTGATAATAAAAATAATACATTACTATTTAATAGTTATACAAATGTTTAATATAAGTGTAATTAATGTGTATAAAAACTTGTGGATATATGATATGTAGCTTTAAATTAAAATAAATGGACGCCAAATACAATCTCAATATATTAGACTACAGTTGTGGATTTGGTTAATTCCATACTGGTCCTTTAAGAGGCAATGGGAGACTGAGTTTACATTGGAAATGGGCGGAGCGCAATCGCTCATGCTCATACAAGGAGGCGGGGCGCTTTACCTAAGGCAGCCTGCGGGGGTGGGGTTGTGGGCGGGGCGTCGACACAGGACAGTGAACGCTCGAGCTGCATTAGTGCGCCATCGCGCTTTGAACAGTCAGTACGTGAGGACGCGCTCGTCAGGATCCCGTCCTATTTAACTACTTTTGATTATCTATAAACGCGTGATTGCAACATAAAGCTGTTAAAGTTTGAAGGATATTGGCAACATTCGACAGGCTGAGCCTGTGTTTTGTTATTATTCACTTCTCTTTTGTTTGAAGTGTGATTCCATTGAACTTGGTCCATTGTTATTGGATGAGAAGCTCAACTTGGCGTTGAGGCTCCTGGGATCCAATACTACGGAGCAAACAGTGGTAAGACTTTACTCTTTACATAAATTAATTTCTTTGTGCGACATATTCCAGAAGGTCCCACCAGAACTTAGAGATACAATGAAGCATTTGCTCTTCTAGTGTCTCACAATGATGAGTTTTCATACAGACCTTTCTTCTATCCTGCAGTTTAAATCAATGGCCAGTCAGACAGGTATCTCATTCATTTGAATGTCAAATTGGCTTCACAGCTCCAGGTGGTCCCAAAGAGAGTTTTACCATTTTAATGTCAGTGCTCAGACATTCCTCTACTGTGTGTTCGCTTTGTAATGTGCCTATGACCATAGTGTTTCCCTATTTTAGGCTTATTTTACCCTACAATTTATGCATTAAAGTATTAACTGCATTATGTTAGAACTGCATTTCTAGAAAAAAAATGTTTGGCAACTTTTGTTGTTGGATTAACCCAAAAAATGTAATTAAAATATATTATGAGGTAATTAATGTAATAATGTTTATTAATACCTTTTTAATAATAATTTATTTCATTATTTTTGGGCTTATTTTATATAATTTGATATTTAAAATGTGTGCCATATGCATTTGCCTTTCTCGTGGCTTTTTATCAGCTATTTGTGGCACACTGACCTTTGGCTTTTTTATACTTCATATATGGAACGTTTTTCATTGTTCCTATTAAACCAGTTAATTACAGCTCTTCTGTTTTACAGCCAAATAATTTTACCAAATTTATCTGCATTTCACTGTTCAGATTGGAAGTTTTGTATGCTACCAATACACACAAGTGTGAAAATGAGTTAGCAGTTAACAAGTGATTGCTAATGGGGGTCTTTGACATGCAGACTGTTGGGATTGCAAACTAAAAGGAAAAACGAGGAGCTTGTGATTTTGAGGCATTGGTATAGTGGTGTTAAATGCCTGGTTGGAGCTTGGAGCTGATGTTAGGCTGTTAGATTGCTGCTTGCATCAGTTGAAGAAAATGTGGTAGAATTGTTGCACTTTAAACAGAATGAAGCATTATGTAACTGCTTGGAGGATTGCAAAGTCCACATTGCAATGAAACAGGAATCCAGTGAAGTATTCCAATAACCTCTTGTGAATTTCCAGATGCATTTCCCATATACATTGTCCTGAACCTACAGTATTGGTCACATCTCTTGCATGATACATATTGGTCAGACGGCTGCATTTTCACAGTTCGTTACACTAACGGCCCAAACTGTTGTTTGCACAAAACTGGCAAGCACTCTGGTATTGTAAAAGGTTATCAGAGTGAAATCGATTGACCCTAATGGGTTGTCTCAACAGTACAACCTACTTTTGGGTATCCTGGGTTGACTTTTTTTTTTTTTTTTTTTT